GCAGAAAATCTCAAAGAATGAAAATTATCCCTTTTGCATTATGACATGGGCCACGTGCTCCACGCCCATATCAGACAAGGAAACAATTTTCATGCTTCATGCTCTGGAAGACAGGAGAGATACAAAGCTCCTCACTGTTCTTCAAATACCATCACTTGAAAGAACAACCCAAGCATAACCAACTACAGAAACTCCAGAGGGCTAGACTGCAGAGAACATGTTTCATCAAGAACACAAATGCCAAACATACTGACCTAAAACTCTCTCTCACAGAACCAAATGTGCCACTGCAACTGTACAATTTTTGTTGCCCTTGGCTTAGGGATAAACTGCCGACAGTCAGAACCACTGAAATAGGGATCACCTCCAAATCATCTATGAGCAGCGGTGACATGAAGACTTTTACAGAAGGAGAGATCAACAGACTTTATCCACAACAGAGCTGGATTAGAGTTTATACAGATGGTTCAGCCAAGATTGCAGTAAGAGACGGAGGAGGAAGAATATACATAGAATACCCAAATGGTTTACAAATGAACCAAGCTATACCAATAGGTTCATATTCTTCTAATTACAGAGCAGAAGGCAGATGCACTTCTAGTAACATGTTCTTTCCTGAATGGACATCAGCACAGCATATATAGCAGAATGGTCTTCTGACTGATGCCCTGTCAGATCTACAAGCAACTGTTAACCCAAAAGACATGCAGTTTGTAGACTAGACGCAACAGCTGACTGAGTTGAGCTCTTCAGTAGAACAATCTGTATTGCAGTGGATTCCAGGTCACTATGGCTTGAAAAGCAATGAAATAGTGGACAGACTGGCCAGAACTAGCAGTAACATGATGTAATTAAATAGTGACTTAACCCACCAAGAGACTAAGAAATTAATTCAATCTATTATACAAGAAAAGACTAGATGCAACAGCCGATTGACTTATGCTCTTCAGAAGAACAATCTGTATTGCAGTGGATTCAAAGTCACTATCCCTTGGAAAGCAACGAAATAGCGGACAGACCGGCCAGAACCAGCAGTAACATGATGCAATTAAATAGTGACTTAAACTACGAAGAGACTAAGATATTAATACAATCTATTATACAAGAAAGGTGGTTGGATACACACACCAAATTCTCTTCTTAAGGCTTGCTTTATCACCTTTCTAGAGAGGGACAATGTATTATATTCCAACTAAGGACAGGGCACAAGAGACTTTGTCAATATATGTTCAAACTTGTCAGTGTAGGAAACACGGAGACATGTCAGTGTAGCGTGGCACCAGAAAATGCTGAGTATGTACTCCAACACTGTCAACTGTTGCTGCCAAAAGAGAGGTAGTCTGACCTGTTCCAACCACAATGAAGACAAAACTGTATAGTACACGAGAAGATATTGACTGCATGATAGCTTTCATAAACGCTACAGGACTGATATTAGTTTTCTAACAGAAGGACAGCAGAAGAAGGAGGATATAAGTTGGTTGAGGCTGTGCGCGTAACTAACGGATACAAGACTAAAGAAGACAACTAGACAACTAGCTGGGTATAAAGTTTCTAGGGAAATGCAGTGGACCAAATAGCAGGGACTCAGATCAAGAGTCCCTATGTCGCTGCAACAACTATAACATTGCATGAACAATTATTACATTACAACACCCACAATCTTAACAGTATAATAACAATTATAACATTACATCATCAATTATACATTTTTAACACCAACAATTATAACATTTTTTGACAACAACTGTAACATTACAACATCAACAATTGTAACTTTATAACATCAACTAGCTGTACCCGGCCACGCGTTGCTGTGGCCCAGAATGGTGAAATGGAGAGGAAAGAAAATAGCTCTCAGCTAGCAGTGTCTGTCATATCCCCCCCCCCCCCCCCCCCCCCACCTCCTCTCCCCTCGACCCAAAATTATCTCCCTCTCCGAAGGATTGAAAAATCATCACCTGGCGAAATTATTAAAATAGAAATAGTTAAGAAATGAGAACTTTAAAATAATGTTTTAAGCTCTCTCAGTTAACAGTGTCTGGAATCAACCCCCCCCCCCCCCCCCCCCCCCCCCCCCCCCCCAATCATATCATTCTCTCCGAAGGATGGTTGAAAAATCATCACCTCGCAAAATTATTAAAATAAATATAGTTAAGGAATGAGAACTTTAAAACAATGTTTTGAGCTCTCTTAGTAACAAGTGTCTGGCATCAACCCCCCCCCCCCCCTCCCCCATACCCCTCCCCACCCCCAGTAATCATATCATCCTCTCCGAAGGATGGGAAAATCACCATGTGACGAAATAGTATAACTAAATTGAGCTTGGCATCCGTGTCCACCCAGACTTGAATATGTAGCATTAATTTGTACTGAGAAGTAAATGTGGCCAGTGTAACAGCTACCACATCACCCATCCAGTACCAGTACTACTGCAACCACTACCACTACAATCATCACAATAACAACAACAACAAAAACTGTCACCACAGTCTGTGTAGGTCGGTGTAGAAAAAAGGAGTTAGCGCTGCATGCTGTCGTCACGGACTATTTAGTTTAATTTTGCCCCCGACATAGAAAAAAAAAACTTCATCATGTAACCAGTGATGGAACCCACAGTAAAATGTACACTATACTCACGAATTACAGTGAAAAATACCCCACACCCATCATCTCTCCCTTTTCGAACAATGTTTAACTGACCTTGGTATCCGTGTCCACCCAAACTAAACTGGGCTGTAAGCTGTCTAGTTAACAGTTTCTGTCATCGCTGAATAGTTTTTGATAGAGAAGCGTCGCGGGGAAGCTAATTAGGACTTAACTGAAATCGGAAGTCGTTGGGCGAAAGGCGCAGATATCGCAGCCTAGCTGTAAACCACAACACAACGTGGCAACCACCCTTTTAAGGGAAGAAAAAAACCAATTATCACCCAGCGGGGAATCGAACACCGGTCACCCGCGTGAAGGATGACATACTTACAACTATACTGCCGAAGACTGAAGAGTGTAGGTCAGATATCTCAGCCTAGCAACCCCAACACAACGTGCCAACGGCCCTCTCGAGGGTGAACAAAGATTACCCGTGACATGACCACTAAGCATCACGTCGCCGCTGGCGCAGGCTAGCTGTAAACCCCAAAACTGAAAAAAGGCATAGATATCGCACCTTAGCTGTAAACCACAACACAACGTGCCAACGGCCCTCTCAAAGGCAAACGAAGATTACCCGTGACATGACAACTGAGCATCACGTTGCCGCTGTCGCAGGCTAGGTGTAAACCCTAAAACTGAAAAAAAAAAAAAACGTAGATATCGCAGCCTAGCCATAAATCACAACACAATGTGCCAGCCGCCCAGTTAAGGGCTAAAAAAAATTATATCACCTAGCTGGGAATCGAACTCGGGTCATCTGCATGATAGGCAGAATAGCTACCAACTACGCTACCAAACACTCAAGCAAATAGTGGAAATTAAATTATATTATAATGCAAAGTTCAATAAGAGCTCAGCAGTCAAATATGACCAATAAATTAAAAACAAATCCGGGCCGGCAACGAAACAAATAATGATTTGACTGTTGATGGAGCTACGTCGTTCATGGTTTGTGCGATTTTCGGACAAAAAATCACACTTGGAGTCAAAGGCAACGTTGTGTGCAAATTTGAGAGCAATCGGTTCAGTAGTTTCCGAGTTTTTAGCTAACAACATCGGAGAATTAACATTTTTTATTAATATAGAAGATAATTATAACATTATAACATCATCAATTATAACATTTCAACCTCAATGATATAACACAACATCAACAATTATAACATTACACATATGAACATTTAGAATTATACCATAATAACCTTAACAATTATCTTCTTTTTCTTCTTTTCTCTACTCCTGGAATGCCTCATGGAGTCAGGGCAGGAAGCGATTTCTGGAACGGGTCCTTCTGTTCACTTTGTATAAAGTACTTTTCAGTGTTCTGCTATTTCTGAGGTCCGTCTTCTGTGTGGTCAACCACTGGACTGTTACCGCTGTATTTGTATAACTTAGCTATCTATGGTGCCCTGTCAGGTACCAATCTTGTTACGTGGTCAAACCATTTGACTGGTTGTCCACCTATAAAGTTCAGTACTGGTTCTGTGCTGGTTCTCCTCCTGATATCATCGTTCATAAGTTGATCTTTCCTCATGACACCTAGCGTAGTATTAGTATGTAAACATTTAATTTCTGTCATGACTATTTTCCTTGTCTTCAGAAGACAGTGTCCATGTTTGATATTGATCGCATAGTGTTGGTAAGAATACTGTGTTGAACAGTGTCCAGTTAGTGTCCATATTCACATGCTTGCATTTCAAAACTGGTGCCACTTGGCATAAAACTTGATCGGCTTTATTGCATCTTTTTTGGATTTCTTTATTCATTCTTCCGTCTTCTGAAAAATGCTCCCCGGATATGTAAAATCCTCCGTCTGCTTCCACTGGTGTTCATCACTTTTGATACTGGTGGTTCTTTCTTTTTGTGGAGAATATCATCACTTATGTTTTGTCTACTTTGTTTATTATATCATAGGCCCGACTCGCTAGCGTAGTTGATTAAACCTGACTTCGCTGTGATCGGGTGATGAACTCCTTGTGGTCCAGTCCAGTTTCACGCCCGGGGGTAGGCAGAAAAGCCACCACATTTCTCCCCGATTTACAGTACCTTTCATGGAATTTATAGTACAAGCCAAAGGGTTAACATAACAACTCATGGTGTCTGGATACTTGAAAAAAAAAAAATGTATATCATAGCTGTTGCATTTGGAGGAGTCTATGATCTGCTAATTATAACATTACCACACCAAAAATTATAAAATTACATCCACATTTATAACATCACAACACCAACAATTAACATTAAAATATCAACAGTTATAACCACACTAAATGTATAACATTAGAACACCAACAATTATAACACTACAATACCAATAATTATAAAATTACAGCATCAACAATCATTACCTAACACAGTAAGTGTTGCAGATGCCTTCAATGTCTTCCCCCGGCCAGTCACTGTACACTCGTACACGCCTGCATCATCTGGAGCCACCTGAACGAGTCGCAAATTACCATGTCGGCTAACTTTCTGGGGCCCAAATGTCAGATCAGAATCTGAAATCAAGATTTATTTAAGGCAAAAAGGAAACAAAGATAACTGGCTCTGCACCGCAATTTGGCACTTTCCTCAGGAAAATACAGTAATTCTACAGATGTTTTAGTTTCCCAAGTTTGTGTCCATCCCACTGAAATTCTCAGTTATGATTTTCTTTGGGAACCTTCATATCAAACTAAAATATTCATCTCCCTCCTCCTCCCCTCTCTCTCTCTTCACATTCCTTTTTATGTGTGTCTCCCTGTGAGTGCAACTCTTTCTATGAGTGAGTGTGTGTGTGTGTGAGTGTGTGTGTGTGAGTGTGTGTGAGTGTGTGTGAGTGTGTGTGAGTGTGTGTGAGTGTGTGTGAGAGTGTGTGTGTGTGTGTGTGTGTGTGTGTGTGTGTGTGTGTGTGTGTGTGTGTGTGTGTGTGTGTGTGTGTGTGTGTGTGTGTGCGCGCGGGCGCTCACCTCTCTCTCTGCATTTCTGAGTGTGTGTATGTATGTGCATCTCTGTGTCTCTCTCCCATGTCCTTATCTTTGTTAATTCATTTCTCTCTCCTCTCCCTCTCTCTCAATGCATGCATCTTTCTTAGTGCAAACCTGTCTGTGTATATAAACAAGCAAAACTGTATGTTTCTGTTTTCTGATGAGAGGAAACAAATGTGGGAATAATACCTACTGAGACCTCTCGTAATATATGCTCATAAACTTATTTTAACCAGTTTTTTTTTTTTCAACTAATCACATAATGCTCTGAAAAGAATCTGAAATATAAACCCACACAGACAGGAACTATCAATCAACTGTATGAGCTCACCTTTCTTCTTCCACACCACCGATGGCAATGGATTTCCATCTGCAAAACATTCAAACTCTGCTGTGTCTCCTGCCAGAATGCTGATGTTCTGAGGTGATGCCAGAAGTGTTGGTGGACGGGCACTAGAATCTGTGGACAGATTGATTATACGTATGAAAGGTGAAGTAAAGTGAATCAGGAGATGTGAACGCCATCCGCACACAACTTCGTAGCTACAACGACGTTCCTCCATTTCCCCCAGAATGTTAACTCTGGTACCCATTTCCTAGAGGCTGGGTGAACACCGGCCAAGGGCTGCGAGCCACAGCTGGATTTCAAAGCGAGTCTCCTATCGACTGCACTACTACAGCCTGTCTGTCATCTGTTATACATATAAGTATGCTTTTACTCCATACTACATAGGGCAACAATGTAGAGAGCTGAACAACATGGCTGCCATGCAGTAAGAACACAGAATATGAAAGCGTGCTGTAATTCAACAGCGAAGGCCTGATTGAGGTGGATAGAAGACATCCAGTCTGGGTTCCGGTGGTTCATTTATGAGAAGAAGGAACAGCATATGCTGTTTGAACCTTAACAAACTTAAACGAACATACAAGGCAACTAATTAGGGGTTTGTGAGATTAGATCGGTTGGACCGAAAGGCTTAGATATAGAAGTCTAACTGTAAACCAAAATACAACGTACCAAGTGTCCTTTTAGGTCAAACACAGAAGAAGAACATAGACGGCAGGCAGTGTGTTCTTGCCTTGATTATTCTATGTGGCCAACTAAAGCAGGTTTACATTTCTTTGATTTGGTCTTCCTCTTTCCCCCTCAAGTTTACCTGCTATCAAAAAATTGTAAAATCTATTTCTTCACATAAAATGCCTGAAATATACTGACCCACTATGTATAATCTATCCAATTCTTCTTCTGCATTTTTACTTATAATACCAGTTGGCACACTGCGTCACGGTTTATAGCTAGTCTGTAATGTACACAAGTTTCAGCCCCCCCCCCTCCCCCCCCCCCCCCAAAGCTAAAGCTAATTTAAGCAAAACAATGAGTACCTTTTTACTCTATTTTTGTAAAAGGGAGAGGGAGGAAGGAATGAATTTTTCTCCTTTCGCCCCCCCCCCCCCCCCCCCCCCCCCCCCCCAAACAAAATATTCTGCCTCTACTAAATATATGAGAGATTGATTTAATAAATATATGGTTTTCATCGTGTCTGAATGCTTGCCACATCCCCCCCCCCCTCTCATAGTTCATGTCCCCATTTTCCTCGGCAATCCTATTTTTCACTGTCACTGGGTGTTTTCCAGCTTGTCTGCTCACAGGCTTCTGTTCCACATGTATACATTATAAGTTCGCTGAACATTTTAACATTATTTTTGTTTTTCTCACTGCAGCAGATGGTATGTTTTCCACCTTGTAAAAGGCTACCTTTGCCATAAAGATTCTTGTTTTCATCTCTTCTGTCAGGTGTTATAACTGTTCTAAGATTGTATCAGTTTATGTATTTAAAAACTAAACTATAATATTTCTAATTCACCATGGCATGAATTGTGATGTTTTAAATCTGTAAACTGTGTTTTTAATCCATAAATCTATCACTGTGTGTTTACTACCTCAGAACAGGCTCAAAACACCATAAAAATGGCAGCATCGAGACCTGCAACATAAACATCTCATTACTGCTGTATTTACCACTTTTTTAGGGTAGGACAGATGGGGGATGGGGAGGGGTTTTAAGTCTGACGATTAAAGGCCACATGGCTAGTGCAGCCAACACAGACAGTGCAAATTAGGATTTTTAATTTTCAGAGAAGATGGAAGATCTAAACATAACAATAGAATAAAAAGGCATTAAACAGGCATCTGAGTTTAAATATCTGGGAACTACATTTACCGAAAATGGGAAATTGCCAGAGGGAAAGAGAAAGAAGGGATGCCCAAAAACAACGTGGAGACGAATGATGGAAAGTGAACTGAGTGCTGCATCTCTGATATGGAAAATGGCACTGAAAAACAGGAAGACATGGAAAGTCCTCTCTGAAGCCTCATGTGCCACCGGGTATAAAGAGAAGTGATGATTGACTGAATCAATGCATGTCAACTGAGGGAAGCATTCAATGGAACGTGTTCCCCTGGGACTAAAAACAGTATATATAAAGTGACTCATGTCACAGCCCCATCATTGGGGCTTAGATGAAAAACAAACAACAGCCTAGCTTTTAAACAAAACCATTTGGTTCAGACCCTGCCCCCCCCCCCCCCTCTCCGCCACCCCCAACCTTTCTAAATGCTATTATTGACCAATATATTCATATTCTGACCCAAACATTTACACAGCTGTAAATTCAGCCAATCACATTAACTATGTGTCTTGTAAACATGTAGCTGTAGAATAGTCAGAATAGTGACATTTATGGGGGGGGGGGGGGGGGGAGAGAGAGAGAGAATTTGGATCCAGCCATAAATACTGGTTTAGTGGCTTCTTTGGGTAACAGGGTTAAACAAGTGAATCAGTAACAGTTAGTCATAGCATCAAATGGAAAACAAAACTGTCAAACATTGTCAGGAAGAATACCTGGTGGTGCAGAGTTCAATGATGTCTTCAATTTTGCCAATCCAGTCTCTTCTTAGACTTTATTACTCTTATAATAAATCCTAATCCTCTAAGATAAAGTAACTGATGTTACTAGATTTGGATGTGATACCCTAGCCATTCCCCCCCCCCCCCCCCCCCCCCCCTCAATTTTTTCTTCCCTGATGCTTTTAACACAAGGTGCTATTCCCACAATCTGCCAGATCTTTTCCAGCTGGTGGTCGGGGTCTGCTGAACAAACTTCATAATGCATTTTTTGTTGTTGCAATTATAATATTTATAGATTACAATAAGTTCTGCAATATGACTAATAAAAAGTGAGGGGGTGGGGTCCATGGTTGGCACAGCATTAAAAATAAATGAGGACTGCAGGACTTAGATAACTTGGAATCTTTGTGTTCGATGCTATCATTTCTCGCACGGTTTCCCATAGTTTCAATGGCAACTTTCTTCAGGTATTTCTATTTACAAATGCTTGCTTTAATGCAAAAACCAACATGATGAAAATAACCTACTATTTCAAAATGCTAGCAAATTTCTTCATGTGTAGCTAGCAATAAGTTTACTTTATAATCATTGAACTGATTAAAACCATTACTGAGCTTTCACAATTAACTATACTTGTGTAACTCCATGTTGTAAATACTTGACAGACTTATTATATACAGAGTACCAGGTAATGTCCTCGGCTGTAGAAGAGGCCGGGGTGATGTCGACTCACCCACTGCGTGGCGACTGGTCTGTAAAAAACTTAGTCTGGCACTCTATTCTTGATATGCCACTGGCGTTATAAAAAAAAAAGTCCTTAACTGATATAATTATATGCAGATTTGCAAGACATCTGGGAAAGATTACCCAACCTGATTTGACTTTGAGCTCTGCACGCCTGCCCTTTTTCCAACCAAAGTTTGCTATCTGTTCCTGAGAGGTAAAGAGGTAGGTTGTTGCTTGGCACCAATACAATCCTGCATCACTGAGGTCGATGTCTGAGATCTGTAAAACTCCTGAGCGAAGTGAGGTGAATCTGTGGGGTTATGAGAACAAAAACCTATCAACATACAGCACCAGAACTTATACAGACTTGTTACCACCATTCTAAAATCATGTTCTTCCAAACTTGAGCAAGACTAATTTGCTATTTTCTTTTCTTTTTTGTCAACCACTTAGAGTCAGCTTTTATTTTATCTGCAATTGTAATTCCTGCATAAACTTCAATGGCTATTCAACAACCTCCAGTAACTGACATCTAGGATTGTTTTATCTAACTGTAGAACAGCCCCTTTCAAAATTATTTTTGGACTATTTCCTATGTTTTAACTGTGGTAGACTTTTTTTTGTAATGTCAGCAAGTCTGGCTAGTCAGACCTGCCTTTACTATGAGCTGTGACTCGCATGCACGCACTATAGCGCAATATAACACAGTCATCTGGAAAAAGGTCAAAGTGCAAGAAGTTAGGATTTCTGTTTAATAATTTCATCAGATTAGCTGTGGCTTTTGTTTTTCAAATCTGTATTTATTACTAAAACAATGAGAATTCATATATTTACAATCAAACTGTTTTTAACACTAAAAGCTGAAGAAAATACAAATTCCTCATCACAGTGTAAGTAAAGTCAACATGAAAAGCTGGCTGTTGTTAATTTACTAAGGTCTTCTGCTGTTACTGTACAGAGAGTTTAACTTTAAGTTACTGTCATCACCAAGAAAAACAATAAGCTACAATGTAATATTCAAGGAAATGAGCAAATTGTAATATGTAACAGGTACAATACTCCTGCAATAGTCATAGTGTGTGATAGTGAACAAGTACAACTCTTTTGCAATAGTCATAATTTGTGACAGTGAACAGGTACAACAACCATGGAACAGTCATAATGTGTGACAGTGAACAGGTACAACAATCCCAGAAACAGTCAAAGTCATGTCTGTCACTGAACAGGTACAACTATCCTGGACGTCATAATGTCTGACAGTGAACGGGTACAACAATCAGGGAACTGTTATAATGTCTAACCTTGAACAGGTACAACAACCTTAGAACTGTCATAATGTCTGACAGTGAACAGGTACAACGATCAGGGAACAATCATAACATCTGGCAGTGAATATGTACACAAATACTGGAACAATCATAATATCTGGTTATGAACTTGTACAACAATCCTGGACCAGCTATAACATCTGGTGAAAGATGCCTGGTAATGACCAGTGCAAGAACTCTCTTTCAGACAGCTGAGTTACTGCAGCGGTTCGCACATTTGTATGCCTGCACAATGATCATTCGCTCAAATCCCCATAAAGGCAGGTTACTTGTTTACATTGACCGAGCCACCCAGTTTGCCCTAGCCTAAACTCGGGTACCAGGAAATCCTCTGGGAAGTAAAATGGATCAATGTGTAATGTGTGATATGGTCTTTAAAAAGACAAAAAAAGCTAGCTTTTCTTTTTGAATTGACAAAATTACTGTATCATCACCACATAAACCAGTTAAAGACAAGAGGGTTTGTTTTCATAACACTGGAAATTCTGTAAAGTCAAAAGAATTTGAAACTAGTAAAAACTGTCAATATTTGGCTCTGACGTTAAAACAGTAAGGCTGTATAGAACTTAAACAGATAAAGCAATTGATAATAACCTATCAGCATTCATTAATGGTGTCTGTGCAGAATAAATAGAAACACATGTAATGATATAATCACTAAAGTGGAGCTTTGGGGGAGAACTCGACAAATTCTAGTTAATCAAGAGGTAGAGAAAAGACATAGGCACTGTGTTTGACAAGTGTTGAGAAGACAGACCAATGAACACACGGAGAACAAAGAGAGTGAAGTTACAAAATATGGGGACAATCATAGATGGGATGACCTGGCTAGGAGCTGGCTAAGGGCTTATGCTCAATTTGAGGACAAAGGGCAGAGGAAGACAATTACTATACCTTTCATCATCTTGAGGTAGTTGTGTATCATTTCTGTGCCAAATATATGAGGCTACCGGTTCTGCCCGAATGTTGCACTCAAAGCGAGCCACACCCCCCTTATAAGCATCCTTTGATGTTGGTTCTTTTGAAAAGTTTTTAGCAATACCTGAAAAACATAAGAACAGTAATATATTGTAGTTGTCAGATATTAAAGTGAATCATTTTATTTAATAGAAATCCTTAAAAAATGGCATTCTATTTATTCCATTCCTGGTTACTCTGGGATCATCCCATTAAAATGCAAACATAATCGTGAGGGTTTCAGGGTCAGAATTTAGACGGAGTAAGGAAGGTGGAGGTAGACTGGGGGACAGACCCCCGTCTCCGTTAACATGCATGTCCTAACATATTAATAGGGACTAAGTGAAAAGAAAACTTGATATGTTGGGCTGAAAGGCATAGACATTGCAGCCTAGCTGTAAACTACAATTTCTGTATTAAACGCTCTTTTACGGGTGAACAGAGAAGAAGAAAAATGCCAAGATAATTATAGTAATTTACTCATTGACCTCAAACTTTAGGGTGTAAGCTGTCACGGCATTGTGAATATTAATTGTATTTTCATCTCGGTAAAGCTGTCGGCGTCTGCGGATTAGGCGTTGCACACGCACTTTGTAATGCAGGGGTGCCGGGTTCGATATCAACTGCAGGCGATATGGCAGCAGACCGCCTTGCTCTGGTTTCAAAAGTAATAAGAGCTGAGCGCTCAGAAGCAATGACACACTACTGAATGTAAATTTGCCTAGAAAAACTACAAAAGCCAACAAATGCTGGGGTTGGTTCTCCAACCTACTGTTAAGGACACACAACTAACTTTACATGAACAGTTTGTATTGTTTCTTGCTGTGCAAAACAAACAGTACACTGACTACAACTGAATGGTATCTTGTGTTATCACAGTTTACTAGCAAGAAACTATAAGACAGGCATGTGATTCCTCTCGTAGACACTTCAGTTAGGTTATTTTGTGTATTTTCGTTCCTGTTTGTGGTATTGTATATTCTCGTCATCTGCTGATGAAGGTTACCTGGCTGCAACGCTTACTTGTCCTTTGTGTTAATGTCAAGCTAAATAGTTTTAGTTTTCCTTTGGTTTAACATTTGTTCCCTAAAAGACACTAGCAGGTTTGCAGGGCTGCTACAGGAACATCCCAAGTGCAGAGAGACACGCTGAGATAGGGCGTAAGCGGATCATGATTTCAAACAGCACATATGTAATGGCTTAGCATCATGCCCCAACTCCACAGCTCCCTCTCCCACACCCAACCTGTGTGTGTATGTGTGCGCGCGCATGTGTGTCAACAGCTGTAAACGCCACCATACCATTCCCCGCAACCATTCGCCAGCGGTGCACGCACGCACATTTCCCGCTTCTATTCGCCAGAGGTACATGTCTAAATTAAATTCATCGCTCCATTCGCCAGTCGTACACGTCTACATAACATTCAATGCTTAACACGCCAGTCGTACACGCCCACACAATATTCAAGGCCCCATTCTTACACAGCCTCATAAGAGTCCTTACTTCCATTCGCAAGATGTACACGTCCAAACCCTCCTCTTTTCCATTCCTTAGTTGCACACGTCCTCTAACATATTTTATTCACATTCCTCGGTTGTGCAGGTCCCCTTAATATCCCTTAATTCGCCATTTGTACACATCCTCACAACACTCCCCCCCCTTCCCACCCCACCCCACCCCAATTCGCCAGTTGTACACATCCTTATCCTCTTAACATTCCCGACTTCCATTCGCCGGTTGTACATATTATTCTCAAAACATTCCCCGCTTACATTCCCCCATTTGTACACGTCCTCAAAACATTCTCTACAACTCTGACCCTTTGACCTAAATACGCTAGAGAACAAGTGACCTTGACAAGTCGGACAAGTCTTAGCGGGCACTAGAATGGGAGGGAGGCAGGCTGCATACCACAACAGCGAGTCGTTCCCCGCTGTCGATACTACTAAGGCCACAGGAGTTTACAGTAAGGGACTAAAGGGGGCTGGTGTCGGAAGTTGGGTGCCGTGATGTGTGGCGCACAAACACCAACCAAGCAAGCACCACGCGATGACTGCACACACACATCAAGAGCAGAGACGTTGAGAGCGCCTGGTTAGTGGCGAAAGGTAGTGCAAATTTATGCTACCGGAGGTTGACCTTTAAACACCCACGCTCATACAATACATGTACGCACGCACACACACACAAAATATAACATTATTTGTATAACCCACTCTCTGACCCGGGTTTGATGACTAAGGTGTGGAACTAGCAGAGCTAGATTTTTTTTTTCATATGTGCCCATTCATTCAGAACAAACTGCACGAAGTCAACCAGTGCTTCTCAAACAATGCAGATGTGAGCACTACGGTGGCAACCTCTTTTGGGGCACCGTTAAAACTGCCATTACCGCCTCTCTATGTACCACGTGTGCAGTGTGGGGGTGGGTGGGAGTGGTGTGGTGGTCTTTAAGTCTGAGAATTTAGGGCCGAATGGCTAGTGTTGTCGCCATAAACTGTGCAGGTTAGGATTAAAAAATCCTCAACCCTATCGAGGATTCGAACCAGGATCTCCGGTATGAGAGGCCTGGATTCTTAATCGCCCCTAGCGATTTCCACCTTTTTGGTCCACTAAAAACCCACCCTGGCGGGAGACAATTCGCGATTGACGCAGAAGTTGAATGTGAAGTGAAAATGCTGGTAAGAAAACAGAGCACAAAGTTTTACGCAGCAAGTTTGAGAGGAATGGTAAAACAATGGAACAAGTGCATTAGTGTTGATGGAAATTATGTTGAAATATAAAGAAACAGCGCATTTGTAAAATCTAATCTTTTTTTAAAACAGCTATTTGTGACTTCTTTATTTAGTTCCCCAACGGCCTTCTCTATATTAGAGAAGGCAGTGGTTCCCCTCGCATATCTACGGCCTTCCTATCTGTTTGTCTCTTCATTGCGTAACGGTGTGTAACTTCTTCTTTTTCTTCTTCTTCCACCCTGTACCTCATCGAAGTGTCGGGGGGAGATGTAATGTACTTTGATGAGCTCTGTCAAGAGCAGTGTGTACCGCCGAACCAAAAGCCTTGAGTTTCATGTAGGAAAATATGCGAAAGGCGTCCCCAACAACAGTTTTGGTGACTGCGTCAATTTTTCAATTACTTTCCGGGAGTGATGTCTGAAAGACTGAGACTAAATGACTTGAGGAACTACTTTTCTTACGCCAATCCAGCAGCAGCAAACTCGATACCCCGTTCAGCGTCTAAAAACTGAAGTATCGGGAAACCGTTGGGTAACGGAGCAACCTGACATCTTTGGTGGGTGTTTATGTCGCTGTTATAGTTTTTTTTTTTTAAGTTCAGTTTTCAGGCCTTCGCGCATCAGGTATACTGGGTTGAACTCGTATTTATATAGACTAATCCGTGATAGATGTGTGATGGGATCAACATCCCCGACTTGATGTGACTGGGTCTACCTGGGAGCCAAAATCAATTATGTAAAATCCGCTCGATGAAAATTCTAAAGCAAAACCGTCGAGCTGGCAAACAAACGTCTACTAGAGTCTACGCCGTTTTAAATATATATATATATATATATATATATATATATATATATATATATATATATATATATATATATATATATATATATATATATATATATATATAAAAAATGGGACAGACAGACAGACATACAGACATACAGACAGACAGACAGACAGACAGACAGACAGACAGACAGACAGACAGACAGACAGACAGACAGACAGACAGACAGACAGACAGACAGACAGACAGACAGACAGACAGACAGACAGACAGACAGACAGACAGACAGACAGACAGACAGACAGACAGACAGACAGAATTCAGTTGAAAGCGTCTCAAGACAGTTTTCCGAAATTTAGTCTAATGTTACGTCTTTTTCTGTATATCAATCTCTCTAGGAATTCATGAACACGTATGACACCATTTGAAATTAACAGTTCCGGATGAAATGCACACCCATTAGATGGGATTCGAATATGGTAACATTCGAAAAAGTTTAACATCTTAACTAGGTCGACTCCAAAAAGTCTGTTACTTCAAGAACAAATCCTAGTAGGACCCTGATGAACAGCAAATTCACGCTGAAAACCGTAATGCATCTTAAGGGTCAGCAAAGTTTAATGAACTGCGTAGAATTACTGACTATTTAACTGAAGAATGGGCAGAACAGAGTGGTGTGAAAGATTCATTATTCTAAAGCTCAGGGGAAAGGTGGAAGTCAATTAAGAAGTGAAGAAGCGAGGTTGGCGAATGATACGATAGGACACACTGCAAAACTAAGCAAAGCAAATAGTACAGCGGGACCTCGGTTCTTGAACGCATCCTTTCTGGAATAATACGGCCTCTCAACACACCCCCCCCCCCCCCCCTTTCCCCGAAAAAAACATTTCGGTTTCGGAAAATAACTTCGATTCGTAAACAGCTATCCTAAAAACACGTACTTCAATGAATAAGCTTCGCACAGTGCTAACCCGTCTCCAAGCTTCTGGTCTAAACACCAGTACTGATCGTTCTCCAAGTTTGTGGTCTACACAACAGTACTGATTGTTCTCCATGTTTGTGGTCTACACACCAGTACTGATCGTTCTCCATGTTTGTGGTCTAAACGCCAGTACTGATCGTTCTCCATGTTTGTGGTCTACACACCAGTACTGATCGTTCTCCATGTTTGTGGTCTACACACCAGTACTGATTGTTCTCCATGTTTGTGGTCTACACACCAGTACTGATCGTTCTCCATGTTTGTAGTCTACACACCAGTACTGATTGTTCTCCATGTTTGTGGTCTACACACCAGTACTGATTGTTCTCCATGTTTGTGGTCTACACACCAGTACTGATCGTTCTCCATGTTTGTGGTCTATAGACCAGTACTGATTGTTCTCCAAGTTTGTGGTCTAAACACCAGTACTGATCGTTCTCCATGTCTGTAGTCTACACACCAGTACTGATCGTTCTCCATGTTTGTGGTCTACACACCAGTACTGATTGTTCTCCATGTTTGTGGTCTACACACCAGTACTGATTACTCTCCATGCTTGTGGTCCACACACCAGTACTGAT